GACTAAAAATCTGTAATTTTATTTACTATTTTTTCTCAATGGGAATAGCTAGGCTCGCCTATCGTCCGGTTTCTACTCAGTCACAATTTTTAACAAGAGTAGAGGTTGATATCTTGTTTTCTGTTTACGATTGGGTTTCCGGTTTCTTCCATAGTCTTGGAGTGAACTGATATTTTTAAAAAAAAGTATATCATACTTATTATAAAACCCAGGTTGTGTGTGTTGTGTGTGTTGTGTGTGTGTGTGTGTGTGTGTGTGTGTGTGTGTGTGTGTGTGTGTGTGTGTGTGTGTGTACGTTTATATATTGGATCGGATTTCCTACATTTCTCAACCGATTTAAAAAAAATTTAACAGGACTACATAAAATTACCTTGCGGTGGTTTGTGTGTGTGTGTGTGTGTGTGTGTGTGTGTGTATGTATCCCTGTTTATATATGGGATCGGATTTTCTACATTTTTCAAGCAATTTCAACAAAACTTTTTTTTTTGGCAGGTAGTGTTTCTTATTGTCTTGCACACTTTTCTTTATTTTTACATTCAGAATGCTTTAAAAATTCCATTTACAAGACAATTGTTTATAATAAAATTCTATTCAATCGGTAGACTCATAACGATTGAAAACAATGTTTTCTTTGAGTTTGGGTTTGACCAATTCGTAAAAAAAAAAAAAAACCTAATTAAGACATGCGTGTCCGTCAACCTTAAACAATAATCTTTGTCAATTTTATTTTTCAGTGTTTATGATGGTCGATACTTGATCTATCTCTTACTGTTACATCCCCGGGCAACGCCGAGCTCTACTGCTAGTATATATATATATATATATATATATATATATATATATAGTCATCCGCAAACAGACTGTTTCGCTGTATCAGAGCTTCTCAGTGTGGCAAGACGTCCGATTGCTTACCTCCTAGGCCATCGTCGCACGGCACAGTAGGAAGGGAATTTTAACGTCTTTCTCTATACGAAACACACCAGCAGCTCATACAACTCAATTCAATTTTACTTGAAGGGTAATGCTTGATAGCAGTAGGGGCCTCTGTTTTTTAAAACCACCTTTTTCTCTAGAGAGCTCAACCGGATTTCCGGGAGCATATATAGTCTATATATAGTCTATAGTACACACACACACACACACACACACACACATACATACATACATACATATATATATATATATATATATATATATGTACTGTAGGAGCATATATATATATATATAGTATATATATATATATATATATATATATATATATATATATATATATATATATATATATATATATATATTGTCATATACAAATATGACAAACTCGTCACTGACAAAATTATAGTCTCTCTCTCTCTTCTCACTCTCTGCATATATATATATATACTATAGAGCATATATAGTATATATATAGTATAGTATATATATATATATATATATATATATATATATATATATATGTATATGAAGAAAAATATACTGAAAAAACAAACAAAAATCCTAATATGCGATTATGCTGTTTTAATGTTTCACATAGGCGATGTTGTGAAAACGTATTCCTAAAATTTGAGTATTTTGAATGAAAAACGAAAAGAATTTTATTTTGATCTAAAACTTATATGTACGTTTGTCGAGCATTAATCTTGCAAATTTTGAGAATACGTTTTCACAACATCGCCCACATGACGACTACGTGATCATATTTAAACGGAACGCTGATCTTATAAAAGATTTCAGTTATCTGTTTGGATTGGTATTGCTTTTATGTCCATCGTCTTTTTCATGTTGAATTGTATATGGTCTATGTTAATTATGTTTTATGAATATGTCCTGAAGATGGTCTATTAGACCGAAACGTCCGACGTTGACACGAAATATTAAAACAGCATAATCGCATATTAGGATTTTTGTTTGTTTTTTCAGTATATTTTTCTTCATACTGTCGGATCTATATCCATATATTTGCTTACATATTACACACACACACACACACACACACACACACACACATATATATATATATATATATATATTTCTTAGAAAAACATAGCCATGTTCATAATATTAGACAAATATTATCTAACACAATAATACTTACACATACACACAGTAAAATGAACCATCAGATATTGGAGGCTATCTACATTAAAACAAAGCAACCCACACTCAACAAAATTATATTTCAAACTAGTCACAACACTGCATCTAGACATTGGTTCTGTTGCAATACTTCGGTCTATTCCGTGGTTTGATGTCACAGAACCGCATCTTGATCTTACGATGTGCGTCTGCTATTCCGCGACCGCTGTCGTCGCAAAACAAATTTCTACGTCAAAATAACAAAATATCATCTTTGACGGTGGATATCTTTGTCTCATGTCTGTATAACCACTCTGAAGATGGCTCATGTAAGCCAAAAGCTTAGGACCAACTTAATAAAAAAAATCTCCAAATGTTGGACAATTTTTGTCTTTATTTTCACCAGAAATTAAAGCAAACATTCGAA